AGCCTTCCCCCAACACCCACAATCCCTCCCCCCGCCCCCCAGTCCCTACTTACCCCTGACAGCACCTGCATCCCGGTCAGCCAAATCCTTGCCATGCTTCTGCTTGCCCCAGCATGCCAAGGGTGCATGCCCCGCATACTAGGGCAGCAGAAGAACATAGAGACGCTTTGGCCAGAAACCAGACCATCTCTCCAGAGGACCAGCTTCTGGGTTCCCTCAGGGCATGGTCCGGGACTGTGTCCTGCCCCACTTTTTTCCTCCGTGTGTGTGTGTTGGTCTTTTGGTTTGTTTGTTTGTTTTTTATATACCTGGATATCCAAGTATCAAATTTTGAGCCCACATTGCAAATATGCAGCATGGGGAACATTTTTTTTTGTTTGCAGCATATCTCTTTGCAGTGTCTCAAACTGGTTTGGGATGCTGCATGCTTGTCTGGATGCACCCTTTGAGTTGTAACATGTCTTAAATTTAAAACTGTCTTCTGTTTTAATTTAAGAATGGGGACCATTCTTCTGTTAATGCATACTGTTTTCTAACCCAATTACCCCCCACTTCTATTATGCATTGTAGCTTATGAAAAAATATAGATCTAAATAAGCCAACCTCATCACTTTTCCCCAGTGGCTATCATAGAAGTAGGGTCAGAAGGGACCTTGTAGATCTTCAAGTCTGACCCCCTGCCTGGGCAGGAGGGAAACATGGCTCAAGTGACCCCAGCCAGGTAGGCATCAAGCCGCTTCTTAAAGCCCCTCAGGATAGGAGCCAGCACCACTTCCCTTGGAAGTCGGTTCCAGATCCTAGCCGCCCTGACTGTGAAGTAGTTCTTACGGATGTCTAATCTGAACCTACTCTCCAACAACTTGTGGCCGTTATTCCTTGTTATCCCGGGGGCGCTAGGGAAACAAGGTCTCCCCCAACCCCTTCTGGTCCCCCCTAGTGAGTTTATAGATGGTCACCAGGTCCCCCCTCAGCCTTCTGCTGTGAAGGCTGAACAGGTTCAGGTCCCGTAGCCTCTCATTGTAGGACCTGCCCTGCTGTCCCCGGATCATGCGGGTGGCCCTCCTCTGGACCCTCTCAATGTTGTCCACATCCCTCTTGAAGTGGGGTGCCCAGAACTGGACACAGTACTCCAGCTGTGGCCTGACCAGCGTCGCGTAGAGGGGGGAGGATCCCCTCCTTGCCCCTACTTGAGATGCACCTGTGGATTCACGATAGGGTCCGGTTAGCCGTGCTGACCGTGACCTCACATTGTCAGCCCATGTTCATCTTGGAGTCAAAGATGACTTCAAGATCCCTTTCTGCCTCTGTGCTCTCAAGAAGGGAGTTTCCCATCTTATAAGCGTGCTCCCGGTTACTACTGCCCAAGTGCAGCACCCTGCACTTGTCAGTATTGAAACACATCCTGTTTTTGTCAGCCCCCCCCCTTGCAACCTATCCAGGTCTTGCTGCAGTCTTTCCCTCCCTACTAGCGTGCCCACCTCACCCCAAATTTTGGTATCATCAGCAAATTTGAGCAGGTTGCTTTTCACTCCATTGTCCATATCGCTGATAAAGAAATTGAACAGCGCGGGCCCAAGGACTGAGCCCTGAGGGACTCCGCTGCCCACTTCCCCCCAGGTCGAATATGACCTGTCCACCACCACTCTCTGAGTACGACCCTTCAGCCAATTTGCAATCCATCTGACCGTGTAGGCATCGATGCCACAGTCGCCTAGTTTTTTAATGAGGATAAGGTGAGAGACGGTGTCAAAGGCCTTGCTGAAGTCCAGAAAGACTACATCCACGGTGACACCTGCATCCAATGCTTTTGTGACCTGATCGTAAAAGGCGATCAGGTTGGTCTGACGTGACCTGCCCTTAACGAAACCGTGCTGGTTGCCCTTGAGCATCATCCCCGATGCTGGCCCGTCACAGATGTGCTCCTTGATGATCTTCTCAAAGAGAAGATATCAGGCTATATGTGTCCTGATAGACGCAATGCAAGGTTTTTGTCCTGGTTCACACACAAGCCTGCACACTGTGCCACCCATGAGCAGTAATACTCCGCAGCATCCTCAGGTCTCAGGTTTGACATCTGCAAATGAAGCAGTTTCCTGGAATTGTCCCGGGAGATGGTGAATCGCCCTTTCACAGCATCAGAATAGTACACGGTATCTCCAGCTAACTTGCTAATATAGGCTACCTGCTGTAGCCCCCTTCCAGGAACGTGCCTGACCCAGCCGAGCCAAGAGTTATCAAAGTCGATTCCAGAGGCTGTGCAGGAGATCCCCAAGGAGTCCCCCAGCATTTTAACTGTTCCACCAGATGCCACATATTCTACCTTAGACTGGACCCCTACAAGGGAACAGAGAGACATTAAGACTTGCAGTAATAACCTTGTGAAACTTCAATGTATCTCCTATTTAACCTACCTGTGAGAGCCAAGAGAAAGTATGCAATATTGAAGCAATCTATCATCTTTCTTGTTCTGGAGAGAGCTCTCCAATGTGTTGTGCTGTCACCAGACAAATTCAGGGAGCTCCAGGTTGTGTCTCGGTGAGCTGTGCATTAATGAGAACTGCTAGCTTTCAGCAAGAAGCATAGTTAGGCGATGTGCACGTTCCCCTGTTTCATAAGAATGTGCATCCACTGTAGGGAAGCTACGTGTCGTGGAGCTCAGTTTTTGTACTGCTTGACACTGGTGCAGACTGTGCTAATAGAAAAACACCCTCTCTCCTCCCTTCCCCCAACCCAATGCATCCCCATTATAATTCTAACCACTTCCCCTTCGTTTTACCCATTCTCTCAAAACAATTTGTCTTTTTTATTTGGCACACGAGTTCTTCAGGACAAAGACTCGCTTACGATGTCTGTGTACAGGGCTCTGGTTGTTATGCATCTGTACAGCACCTGGCACCATGTGGCCTTCACCTCTGTTGGGGCCTGCAGGTGCCACCTAAATACAAGCAATAAATTTTTGATTCCTTGCTTTTTTTCCATGGTGTGACACCATATTGTGGAAATGAAATCCCTGTTTCCTCGTACAGAGGAAAACCAGGTAGAGGGTTGGTTTTTGAGGAAGCCTTTTGCCAAGTTAGTTGCCCTCTTTCCAAGCAAAGACAAGGGGTTTGTGCATGTAAATCCCCAAGCCTGATATCACAGGACAGTAGATCACACCTAGTCCAGCCTCTTGCTCAAAGCAGGAGCATAACATTATATATAAAATTTAAAGTAGGTGGCCTCCATAAAATGATTTCTTTCATGAATTCTCTTCAGACCACCTAACAGATGGCTGCTGCCATAATAGCCACAATTTGAGGTTTTGGTCTGGGCTCCCACTGACGCCTACACACAGAGAGCCCTGTACAGTAATACTCAGCAGCATCCTCAGCTCTCGGGTCTGTCATCTGTAAGTAGACCACTTCCCTGGTGACAGTGAATAGTCATTTCATAGAGTCGAAGTAGTACACCGTATCTCCAGCTAACTCGCTAATACAGACTACCCACTGCAACGCCTTTCCAGGAACATGTCTGATCCAGTGAATCCAGAAGTTCACCAAGACACTTTCTGTGGTTTTGCAAGAAATCCTGTAGGAATCCCCCTGCATTTTCACCTTTCCACCAGATCCCACTATTTTACTCCTTGTTTGGACACCTGCACGGGGACAAAGATGTTAACGCTTGCGGTGATAACCTTGCAAGCCTCCAGTGCCTTCAGAAGTTGGATTACTTCTGAAAGCTAAAATGAAGCAACTGATATGGAGCAGCTGTGACATCTTTGTGATTCCACAAAAAGCTCCCAACAGTGTTGTACTCCCAGACGGCCAGGTTTAGGGAGCTGCTGGATGTCTTGCTGAGAACTACAGGCTCTCAAGACTGCTGTTTTTGAGCAGGAAATGTGGTTATGTGATCTGCTTATTCCTCTGTTTTATAAGAGTGAAATGAGCACAGGCCCTGAGTGAGTTGAGTTTCATGTGGTCCAGTTGTACTGCTCAATGTTGGGGCAAAGTCTGCAAACAGCAGAAAGAACAACAGGTGCATGCTCCATCCCTTCTTCCCCCTTTGTTTTACACTGTTGGTGGTTTCTCCCTTCCTTTATCTGCCCTTGCTCTTTTGACTGTGAGCTCTTTGCGGAAGCAACTGCCATGTAGCATCCATCACAAGAAACAGGTGCTTGTCTTCCTATGCAGAAAAGCCCTGAAGTAGTCCAGGCAAAGGGGGCAATTTTTAAACCCTTTTATAGAATCATAGAAAATGAGGGTGGAAAGGGATCTCAGGAAGCCATCTAGTCCAACCCCTTGCTCAAGGCAGGACCATCCCCAACTAGATCGTCCTAGCCAAAGCTTTGTCTAACCCAGTCTTAAAAACCCCCAAGGATGGAGCTTCCACCACCTCTCTGGATACCTTTTCCAGTTCTTTACTACCCTCCTAGTGAGAAAATTCATCCTAATATCTAACCTAAACTTTAACTTCCCTTGCTGCAACTTGAGACCATTGCTTCTTGTTCTGTCATAGACTTAGGAGTGTCCAAGATGTGACTCAGAGCCAGCATGAGAACTAGTCAGAAAAGGAACAGAGGAGGAAGGAGTATTCTTGAAATACTTCTTAACTATGGCTTGCATTGATCATTAAGTCTATGGTGCCACTTACCAATGCCATCCTATATTCTTACATTTTAATCCATATTGATGAAGAAGCATGAAGTTCAAAGGAAAAATAGTAAATCAATTTGGTTAAAGATCAGTGGTATGAGGACTAGGTCTGGGGAGGACTTCTGAAGGGAGGTCATAAGTTACTGAAAGTGAGCGAGACTGTTTATCCTGGTTTACGAAGTCAGGCATGCTCATCCGTGCTTTGTAGAGCTGTAGTATGTGGTAGTGATTACTTCTCTTTTTGTTATGGTCAGAAAAGATGTTATAAGTGCTAAAAGAACTCATTCCTTTCGTTCAATAACTTTTATTACATAAGCAATAAACATTGAAACAAAATGTTGCTATTGTATAAAAAAATAGGAAAGGCAAATATGTGAAAGCAAATGCAAGTGGAAAGAAGTTTTTAAAAAACCATCATAAATAGTCTGTACTGTTACATAGATTCGTATTTCAAAGTAATTCATCTAACAGTCTACTTCAATCTAAGAAAAATCTTGTGACATTTCGGGGGTGGGGAAGAGGTGTTGATTGGGATAGAAGGAATGCAAAAGTGTAGAAAAGTTTTAAATTCCCTAATAGTAGTTAAAGGCAATACAAAACTTTCCATTAGAAAATGTTTTCCATTTCTTAACATAGCAGCTATCACTACTCTCCAATTCTTTATGTAGTTACCAATGGTAGCCTGTTAAATATCTGTTGGAAGAACACAATACATGATGATTTTCACTATTAAAGCAATTAATGTAAATGCATAAAGGGTGATGGAAACTTGGCTTTGTTTCTCAAGTCATTCCTCATTTATTCTTGGAAGCCTAAAAAAGAAACAACAACGATGTTATTTCATTAATTTGATTAGACTGAAAATCCCTCCTTCCCACGTGGCAACGTGAAAGGAAATTAAGACCCCTTTGGAAAGTTAAACTGAATTAACTTTTAGAGTTTCTGCACACAGATGGGCTGAAAAATAAGAAAGTGTGTCTGCCCAAAACAGACAAAAGACAGATTAGCCTCACCAGCTGGTTTTATACCACATAAAACATGAGATCCCACTACTGTGTTGCTACTTGGTAGCACCAGCCAGACGGCAGTCTATTTACAATATTTGCACTGCTTCTATTGCCAAGACATCAGAGCATTTCATGATCGCACATGTGTCTTAGCACATTCTCCAATTCAAGGGGGTTTTCCATACTTGGAGAATCAAAGCAGAGAGAAAGGAAACAATTTAAAAGTTCTTTCACCAATCACTCAAGGGGAAGGAGAACCTTATAGAGATGGGAAATAAGCACAGGTCTGCCAGGACACCACCTAGTAACTTTACCATTAAAGCTTTTGTTGATCTATTTGGATCAGCAGG